GCAGGGAGCCCGACATGGGACTCGATCCAGGGACTCCAGGATCACGACCTGAGCCGAAAGCAGTCGCTTAACCAACTGAGCCACCCAGGCGCCCTGAAAAAAGGTTTTAAAAAGCATGGATAGTATGATTTCATTTTGGAAAACAGACTCACGAATATACAGTAGATGTTAATAGCAGGAGTCACTGGGTGGTAGGAAATGGTTCCCCTATTTTTTTCTTGTTTTTGTGGATCTATGTTTTCTCGTAACTTATTTAAAAATTATTTCTTCCAACTTCTACAATGCACATATGTCCCTTTTACTTAATTACAAGGTTATTTTTAACTTAAAAATGCTGACTAAAAAATTGCTACCCTGGAAGGGAACAATCCAGGGGATGCTTGAACCAGAGCATTGGGTGGTGGACCCTCAGTCCCATCTCAGAGGTTGGGAAGAACCGACCTCTTTTCTGCTAGCTGTAGTTTAGAGCCAAAACCCCATCCAAGTTCTGCACAGAATCCAGAAAGTGCTGATATTTTGTAGAGCAAAAAACAGTTAACTCTTGAGATGATCAGTGACCGAAAAAAAAGAAAAAAAGAAAAAAAGGGATGAGAGAATCCCAGTCTGCTTTCCTCTGTCAACCCCATCCATGCCTGCCCCTTCTTGCTCACTGTCTGAAGATCCAACTTCACTTTATTTTATTTTTTTTAAAGATTTTATTTGAGAGAGAGAGACAGCGGAAGAGGGAACACAAGCAGGGGGAGTGGGAGAGGGAGAAGCAGGCCTCCTGCTGAGCAGGGAGCCCGATGTGGGGCTCGATCCCAGGACCCTGGGATCATGACCTGAGCCTAAGGCAGACGACGCTTAATGACTGAGCCACCCAGGCGCCCCCCAACTTCACTTTAATAGTGGGTTGGGAAAAGAAAGCAGAGTTTGGGGATGCCTGGGTGGCTCAGTTGGTTAAGTGTCTGCCTTTGGCTCAGGTCATGATCCCAGGGTCCTGAGATCGAGTCCTGAATCAGGCTCCTTGCTCAGCAGGCAGCCTGCTTCTCCCTCTGCTGCTTCCCCTGCTTGTGCTGACAAATAAAATCTTAAAAAAAAAAAAAAAAGCAGTGTTTGGAGGATAAAGTTGTTAAGATGTGGTGTTCTTTCCTGCTTCTCACCTGTAGCATTCTTGGGACCGTCCCTACGCCCTACGCAGGTCTTAGAAGGCGCTGGGAGCCATGCGAGAGGTGATGAGGACGGTGCAGGGAACAGAGAGGCTGAGCTAAACCTCAGTTTAATCTGAGGGGAACGAATGCCCCAGGGAAACTCCAGTTTCTCTGGGCCTTTTTTCATCTTTCAAAAGGGCTCCCTGTGGGGCCCCACCCATCTTTAACTCCCTGCAGGAGACAAGCTACGTATGACTGTGGCTCAGTTGTTTTGGGGTGTATGGAAGTGGGGTGGGGTACGGGAGAAAGTCGCTTGCCCACTGAATGGTACCTGCACTCTGCATGGGACCACTCTGGGCACCCACACCCACTCCCATCCCCAAGCCTACCTGTGGTCCAGGCCCAAATCCCCGAACCCCTTTCCCGGGCCTGGTTCGCCTCGTCCTTCAGCCCGGCCCCTGTTCCCTTGGGGGCCACACAGGGAGGAGGAAGAGGACAACTGGGTTTCTCCGAGCTGCACAAGCTTTTGTGGGCACGTCCTTACTCCCTGGTTGCTGCAAAGTCTGAAGGCAGAGCTGGTCTGTGCAAAGATGAAGGCTGCCCAGAGGACCACAGAGCGGGCATGGGGCTGAAGGGCCGTGTCCCCTGTCAGCTTCCCAGAACACCACCCACTCTGATGAGAGGGACCCTGACAAGGACCAAAGCACACATCCCATTCCACCTTCCTTTGCCCTCAGGGTTTGCACTCTCTCATGCCAGAAAGGAACACATCCAGGAAGGACATTATTTGAATAAACAGTTTATTGTGCAACAGCCAAGGTCCCTTCCAGCCCACGGCTGACTGCAGCATCTTCTGGGGCGGACACCGACTCTTGGCTCTGGGCCCCTCTTGTGCTCTTTCTCATCTCACCATTTTGGCGAGTTTAGGCCGAATACAGTTTATCTGTCTTCCTGGCTGGAAGGAGCAACCGAGGGCCGAGGCCGGGGCTGTCTGAGCATGCTCACCCTGGGGGCCCTGGCATTTGGCGTCACACGTGGAATAAGTTTCTGTTGTTTTAAGAGTCAGAGATATGGTTTAAGAGTCCGAGACATGGTCAATTTTCATGGGTCTTTTGGGGCATTTGCTAGCACTGTTTTTGGGACAAATCTGCTCTAAAATAAACTGTAGTGTTTAGATGAAAATGAAGGTCAGGAACAGGAACGCAAAGTTTCTTTTTATTTATTTATTTTTCTTTTTTTTTTAAAGATTTTATTTATTTATTTGACAGAGAGAGACACAGCGAGAGAGG